CATTAGAATTAAACGTTTAACAAAATAGCCTAAAAGTTGTATTCATGTTGACTCTTTTAAAGCAGAATATTTAATAAATTTTCCACAAATATACTGTATATTCACATAGGTTTGCATAATTTAGTTGAATATAGTATTATTTTCCCCTAGCATTTAAAAATATCAAGAGATGTCACCAATTTCTGCCAGATTTTTTAATACATTTATTTACATAAAAAAGAAATAAAATTTAAATGAATACTTTTTATGTGTAGAATATGAATAACACTATGTGTATCTGTGTTGAAGCTTGAATCAGGCGTCACCACTGGAAATGGGTTCCTCTACAAACTGACAGTTTACAGCTCTGGACATGTTTAATTTAGTGACAGAAAGTGCAGAAATGTTTGTTTTGGTTGTATAAATACAGAACACTGGTGGAAAGATGTCACACAAAGCCTAATATATTTATTTTACGCGCTCGCAGCCAATAGAGGGCGCTGTGACTTTTTGTTGTAAAGAGTTGATTTGGTTAATAAAGTTTTTTCTGAATGACGTCTAATTTAAGCGACTGCACCGCGCTGGTTTGAGGAGAAACAGTGGATGTGTTTTGTTGTTCTGCTCTAACACAGACAGCTGGAGATATTTGTTAAGGATTGAATAGTTTTCAGGGTAGAAAAGCAGCCATGTTCAGCCCCCGCACCGCGCCGAGCCCCGGCCGCAGGCAGCAGAGCAGGACCGCCGGGAGGAAGAGCTCCGCAGCGGCCACCGGCCTTCTGTTCTCCCCGCGCAGGACGCCTCTGTCGGCCAGGTGAAGGGACATTTCAGCTGCTCTCCTTGTATTTAATCAGATGTACCGAGTTGTTTTYATGCAGATAGTCCAGATTCTGTACGTTGATTACCAAACTGCAATTCTACTCTTATTTTGAAAGTTCATAAATGTTTCAGAGCAGCAAACAGAAATGTTAAATATAACCCGAATAAAGACAAAAGGCAAATTCTKTGTTATGTTTTCATATATTAAAGGAAAAGAGTTATCCTAACCAACCTGGCTCTATTATAAAATAACTTGCTGCAGAACCCAAGTGCTCTTGAGCTTACAGTCAGCTTCAAGATGCATGCATGTAACATGAGCAACAGCACTATGTTTCAGGTGGTTACCGCTCTTCTCGGCCCTCTCAGTCCTGATGTGTGTGATCTGGTCCCACTAGGTCCACACCCAGCAGACATCAGAGCCACACCGCTGCAGAAACCATCAACTATGACGTCCAGACGTTTGGTTCGTCTCTGCCTGTCAAAGTGATGGAGGCCCTGACCATGGCTGAGGGTGAGAGAAGCTCTTAAAGCCCAGTTTCTTCTCAGTTAAACCACTGTGTTGTCATCAGGTGTGTGCGTGTGTGTGTGTGTCCAGATGATGACCACATCTCAGTGAAGGTGAATGAGAGCGGCTGGGCCTGGATGGTTTGTGGAGAAAGACTCATCATTTGGAAAATCTGCCAGACTGCCGTAGCCAAGGTATAATACTATAATAAACATATAGTTTATAGTAATATCTGAGGCTTCTCACAGACAATAGGTTGAGAACGTTTTGGTAAAAATCACATTCTGATTCTATGACATGATCAGGTGACGTGTTCAAACTCTGGCCTGTTTCCTTGCAGCTGTCTGTGTGTAAGGAGCTCCAGCTGCCCAGCAGTGACTATAACTACACAGCTGAGCTCATCGCTGTCGTGTCCTCCCTGCCGCTGGAGGTGGCTGCAGTTCAGTCGGTCTCTGTCCTGGCTGTGGCTGCAGAAGGAACGGCTCGCTTCTGGCCCAGCCTGGCTCACGAGGGCAACTATACAGAGTCAGACGTGGAACTGGGTGACCTCTGCAACTTTGTAGTTGCTGTCAGAGTAGGTGGATCTTCTGAAAACACATTCATTGTCAACCTTTTGGAGATAAAAACAATAATCTGTTTCCATCCAGTTGTAGAGTGAATTTTTATTGAAATTTTCAAAATTCGCAAAAAATTAAATAAATAAAAATTTGAATCTAGACTYTTTCCATCTAGTTTCCTTCTCGACTGTTTGATGCGAATAAACGAGGCTACGCAACGCGTGATTTCGTCAGATGAGGCTACGCAACACATGATTACGTCAGTTGAGGCTACGCAACGCATGATTACGTCAGTTGAGGCTACGCAACGCGTAATTACGTCGGACGAAGCTACGCAACGCGTGATTACGTCGGACAAGGCTTCGCAACGTGTGATTACGTCAGACGAGGCTACGCAACGTGTGATTACGTCAGACGAGGCTACGCAACGCGTGATTACGTCAGACGAGGCTACGCAACGCGTGATTACGTCAGACGAGGCTTCGCAACGCGTGATTACGTCGGAGGAGGCTACGCAATGCGTGATTACGTCTGATGAGGCTACGCAATGCGTGATTACGTCAGATGAGGCTACGCAATGCGTGATTACGTCTGATGAGGCTACGCAATGCGTGATTACGTCAGATGAGGCTACGCAATGCGTGATTACGTCTGATGAGGCTACGCAATGCGTGATTACGTCAGATGAGGCTACGCAATGCGTGATTACGTCTGATGAGGCTACGCAATGCGTGATTACGTCAGATGAGGCTACGCAATGCGTGATTACGTCTG